TATAACATCTCAAGTTGACCCAACCAAAGGCCTAACAATATGTCTTCAAGTTATTTGTATTTATTTTATTGTAAAGTTGAGATCTATGATGTATATATGTCATATATTTTTGTAAATTGTAAAATGCCGAATAGCATATCCAGATCCGAGAAACATCGTTGCACATAGTACCATTTATCATTCATCAGAGAAACAAATTATAACACCGTCAAATTTGGAAAGAGCGACTAATTTAGAATTTTCATTAATACAAAATGATTCTCGCTTAAGGCCTATTCTAACATTCTCACTAAATATCTCCAATAATCATTACCAGAGGAGATTCATCATTTTCCCTTGAAGAAATCCTTAACAACTAGTTTTCTCTGGTTCAATCACAACTCTGAACCCGACATCCAATTAACACAATACACACAAAGTGTAGAGTTTTCTCAAGATATCTTAGTTAAATGATCTTTATCTAAAAACTAATTTTTCCATCCGACCTTCCGCCAACTCACACCCTTGGAGTTGATTGCTTCCGAAACGTAAACCGAACAACTCCCAAAGAATACACCTAAACACAAATCATTCAATCAGGGAAATCTTTACAAATCAAGAACTCTTAATCACTAATACCCACTTCTCAAGGTCTAAACTCCTTAGAGTCACCACATGTGTTGTAAATGCTCTTTAGGATTCAACAACGGTATTCCAAGTACTTCAACGGTTCCTGGCCTTAAAACCAAAAGTTGACACTTAATATCATGAAATGGATCGAACCACAGAACGAATCTTTCGGTCACAAAAACTCCCCTATAAAGGCTCACCATCTCTAAATAATAGATACTAACAGGGTATTCCAAGATTTCCACATAGCCTTATTACGAATAACTGACTGAACTTCCAACCCAAAGATTGTGGAACGAAAAGATCACCGCTTTAATAACCGGGATGACTCGCAAGTCTAATACCTCAAAGTTTAGGTTCCCTATATACATTAAATTTTCAAACTGAAAACCTGGAATTTAAAACCAAACACAAGTCAGACCATCTGACGTTTCRATTCCCAATGACCCCTCTAGTCCTTAATTACAATTCCTTTCACAAAAGAGTTTAACACTATGGATGTAATGAGTTCAAGGTTTTTCAAGTACAAAACTTAACAAATATGCCAATTTACAACTTTATGAGATTTACTGACATGAAATCTCTATAATCAAACTTACGCACACATAAAATTTACTACCTATACACATAAAATTTAATACCACAACTAGGTAGTCGTGCGAAGTGGCCACAAATGCCACAGATATAAAACAAGCTTGAAAGTTGCGTGACCGTTATTCAAACTAATAATGACATCAACAAAATATGTTTAACACACTTTTCAAATGGATTGCCATAGTCCTAACATACATTTATTTACCCCATTTATGTAAAATAAATACATGTAGTACAATAGTGCACACCAAAATATGTTTGTACAAAACTTCCAAAGAGGAGTTAGACGACATAGAGCTTCCAAAATTCTCTCTTTTAGTCATAAAATGTCATGAAACAGAATTCCTCAACAAGACTTGCGTGCATCAGTTTATTTCTCAAAACTGGTAAATCGATATGTACATGCGCTTTGATTACAACATGAAATCATTTACGTTGGTTTCAAACTAAAGCAAATAACAATACACTTTTGCCAATCTAAGATACTGACTAAAATATCGTAAAGGAAACTCCAAACAAAACACATATGCAATATACGTAACATAACAGTTCCCATATAACTGAATGCCATCAAAATCTTCACATCTAACAACAAAATGACATGAAATATAATTCCCAATAAGTTCTCATACGTAACACACACAATAAAACAAATTCGTTTAATTCCAAAACTCATACTTGAGTCATAAAATATCATAAAACAGTCTCAATAAAAGTTGCAAACAACCATAGGAGATACAATAGTTTCATTGCTAATTTAAACTTGACCCAAATCTCACATGTGACAAAATATTTTCTTAAAACTCATAAAAAAAATGTTCGCACGTCCCTAAGGTAATAAATAGAACAATTTCTATCAGTTTTAGTTTCATAATCATCTTCTCAATTGTCTACTATGTCGTTGTCACCTCAGGTACATTGTTTTCTCTAATCTAATTTGAGTTGCATGCGATTTCGAATCTGAGAATACTGATTGCTTCCCTGATTTTTTTGCAAGATGTGATGTAAAAACAAGAAAATTTTGACATTGAATTGTTTGAGTGGCTTGTAGCAAAATAATCTGTTGATCCATAAAGCAACATGTAAACTAATAGTCACTTAGAGCATCYACAACAACTATGCTATTTTTTTYCCTAAAATAAAATATCTAAAAYCAAAATCTTTAATATCTRCTAGGGATTKTTTGTTTCCCTCTTAATGGTGAGGGAACCTCTGAATCAGTAACAACCCAATGTTATTTGGTARGCATGGGGACGGTGCGGGGATCCTAATCTAAGTCYCCATCTTTGCTGGGGAATATGATCACATCCCTAACCAGAAACGAGGATCCCCAACGGGAAGTCGTGGACTTTTTTCCCATTTATTTTAGATATTAAATCAATTGTGTTAAACACTGTACTTGATCAATAATGGTCTATGTTTAAATCTCACATATTTCTAAAAGTTTGCTTTTACGGAGAATCATATATATTTTCGTATATGAACAAAATAGCTCATTCCCCCAAGGTTGTGTTTTCTATTATTTATTTTTGCTATTTTCTTATTCAGATCAGTACRVAAGGAATCGCGAAGAAGATAATGGGAATAAAAACGAAGAAATTGGGAATGCAACGACATCCACAAAGAAAAAGACTACGGGTATAACTAGGTTAGTAAAACTTCTTAAGAGACTACTTCAATAAATCATTGCAAAATATCTAAAATGTTTAGCAACACTTTTTTGGAATCTTTGAGAAGTGGTTTTCCATCTTCACTTCCTTTACTACCCCGAACAACCTACTCAACTAACTTGTACAAGTAGCCAACAGTCTTCTGGATCTAGGTAGGAACCTTCTGGTGCTATCTCGTCTTCTCATATTAACTTGCAGGAATATGAGAMTATGACATCTCAACTTGACCCAACCATAGGCCTAATAGTATATCTTCAAATTGTTTATACTTATTTTATTGTAAAGTTGAGATTTATGATGTATATATGCCATATATTTTTGTAGATTATAAAATGCCTCTGAGAAACATCGTTGAACATAGGACCATTTATTATTCATCAGACAAACAAACAATACATGGAGTTATGCTTAACAATGATTGCTATAGAGTCTCAATCGATGAATCAATAAAGTCGGGTGTTTTTTACCAATACAAGTTGGAGAGCACGAGATAGTAGGGGATGCAATTGGTAGTTCCTTTGGCTTGGCCAAAAAGCCTTGTCATCCCTGACTTAAAGGTGTATGGCTTATCAAATTTGTTTTTGTTGYTAAGCTTTCTTTCCCATATACGATTTTACCTTTTGTAGGCATTTTTCATACCCTTGTTTAATTAAATACTAATAAATCTCACACTACTTTATAAATTATGATTATTTTTTTTGGAAAAGAGGGGATGGAACCTTGGAAAACCTTTATTCAAAACATAAAAAGGACTACAACTCTAASAAAAGGCATACCCTCCTAATTACAAAATGACGCCCAAGGCAACAAAAGCCTAACTCAGAACCCAATAACAGATTTAATGACCCAGTTACCCAACTTAGATAAGTAACTAGAAAAGGACCAAAATTAAAYAATGTAAAAGCCCATATGCTGGTAAATAACTTTAATAGAAGCATACCATTATYAATGGATCAAAAACAAAAACCCCTTCTAGCTGTTTCCGATCTCCTCCTCCAAATCCCGATCTCCTGCTCTAAATCCCTATCCTTAACCATCTTAATTTCCAATACTAGAATTCATCATATAGTCATTCATACACACAACTGCTGAGACCAATAGAAGCATATTAGAATGGAAAATACTCWCCATGGCTTCAAAATATATGTACCATCCATCAAGCATAGAGTCAACTCTTGGATCTGGTTCACAGTCCACTTATCAGTAGCCAACATATGAGAATCCCCATTCTAGATGTAGCAACCACTATGTTACAGAATAAGCCATATAACAACAATTAACATTTGAAGAAAGTTAACCGTTATCTAATGTGGACTAAACCATGTATCCAAAACCGGCATATGAAGAAGTCTAATTTCGGAMCTGTAGATTCTGATCAAATGAACCCATRRTATGGAAATTCAAACATTCCATAAAAATAACGTTTGTTTCRGATCATACCAAAGAACTAGCAGCTGATTAAAACTTATGACAACAACCAACAGATCAATAAAACCACATAATCTAAAGTTGTCGTATTGCCAAAACTTCAGAAAACAATCATACCACCAATAGCCACATTTATAAAAAAAAAATAAGCATGGTTATATGTAATAAACTTGCCAYGTTTAAACGTCACTTTCTGTGTCGATAAGTAGTTTATGGCCATGCTTTTAGGAAAAATGCTTCAATACCATAAARATTTGGATATGTTTATGGCCACAATGTTTTTGGCTATGACTTGTTTTTTCATGTGATATGGTGACAGTTTTAAACGTGGCCATTTGGACATCAAAAGTAGTCACGGTAGAATAGGCTGTGAATTGATTGAAGAAAATAAAACTGTGGCTAAAGGCCTACGGCAACGTTTTTTAATYRTGACCATTGTGAGTTTTTGTACTAGTGTGGTAAATAAAAGGTCGAAATATTTATGAGGGAAAGTGATTCTACACGATCATAAATATTATAGTGATTTCTTACGAACCTTAAACCCGATATTTTAAGAGTACCGAAGATGTGAGGCATTAAAATGGTAATGTAGCTATTTCCTAGACAATTCAATACAAAAGATATTAGAAAAGMCAAACAAAATATAACAGGGAACATTACAGGTTTATTAAGCCTGCTTCATTTATTGAGATATTTAAAAATACATAAAATAAYTTGAATTACATATGAAATAAGCATGAATTCATCGATTAACTTTTAGATACAAATATATGACAGGAAATCCAATACGAATTAAGCAYATTGAGGCTCTCTTTTTTGTTTGAAGATTAGCTTCAAAGGTTCCTCCATTTTCAAAGCAATCCCGAATTTGTCATTCATGTTGAGCTTCATAGGATCAACATCATTTGGAAGAATCAAGTCGAACTCATGAATCAAAGATGCCAATACAAGTTGAACACTTTTGATACCTGAGGGCATTCCTGGACACATCCTTCTCCCCGAACCAAATGGCAATAACTCAAAGTCTTGACCTTTCAAATCCAATTTCGAGTCCATAAATCTTTCGGGTTTAAAAGATAATGGGTCATCCCAAACTTTAGGGTCTCGGCCCATCGCCCAAAGATTGACAAATATTTTGGAGTTCTTAGGAATTGTGTAATTCATAACCTCACAAGTTTCAGCCGCCATATGTGGAAGAAGAAGAGGCACCGGTGGGTGTAATCTCATGGCTTCTTTGATACTCGCTTGTAGATAAGGTAAGTTGGATAGTTGCGAGTCAGTGATTTTATTCAAGTTGATCTCTCTTTTAATCTCATCTACTATTTTCGACATGACCTCTTTGTGTCTCACGAACTCGGTCAGAGCCCACACAACTGAAGTGTGTGTTGTATTTGTTCCTGCTACGAATAATTCCTGTAAAGATAAAAAAAGAATTCCTTGGATTAAAGATCAATTGTAGAGAAAATAATTCCGATAGTTGAGATAGAATGTTATTTCTCTTAAAACAACATAAGAATTTGATTAATCAAGGTTGTTGATGGAGAAACACAATTGACTTTATTTGTGTTGATTGTGTGTTCAATATAATGTTTGATATTAACCGGTTAACTTTGCATATGTGTATTTTATGTAGGAAAATTGTTCTCTTGTTTTCGGAATAAATCCGTCTATATACTATTAATGGTTCTTTTTAATAAGATATATTTTCAATCATCATCCCCTGCCAATAACCTTTGTTCAGCTACAAATTCATAATTTTATACATAAATAGTCAAAAAGACTTACCGTAACCAACTGATTTATCTGATTGTTTGAGAAACCATTTTCTAGCAAGCGATCCAAGAAAGATTGTGCTTGCTCTGACGACCATGTTGAAGAATTGATCAAAGCTCTTCTTTCCTCTACGATATCCTCCCAATAAGCAAATGTCTTTTTATATT